ATTTCGTCATATTTCAATAAATGCTAATTAAGTCGGAAAATCAACGAAGTATCATAAGCAAATATAATATTATATATATAATGGTTATTCCCTACCAAGTAGCGTAAGTCATTAATATACCATACTCATAACTAAGAGAAATGGGCCAAGAATTCAGCCATGAGGAACACCCATAGATACTACCGATCTGGAAGATTTGCTCCCACTATTACCAATTATTTGCGTTCTATTATTTAGACATGGCGTAATAAGTTTAGGCGCTATGTTTTTTATGCCATAATTTAATAGAGATTAAAATATTGTAGGATATTATAATAATCGTTCAGACAAATGGACTCACAGTCTACCTGCAGTTACCATCAAATATAAACTGTTACAAATGCGTTTTCACCTCTCTTTGAATGCCTCACATACTGGCTTATACTGGCTCTCCATTCCCTTCAGACTGAAAAAAGCAGGGAAAGTATTTCTTAGCAGAAGTAGGTAAAAGGGTACCCCTACCTATCAATCCCTCAGGGTGTGAAATATATAAACCAGGTATTGCTCAAGATACCTTTATTTCAAGTACTTTTTTACATTTTATTAAACACTAATTTTTTTTTAAATCCCACATCTGTTTCGTAGCTATATTTTAATAAATATTCAAGGATTTTCGGTAATATATCTTAACTTGTTAATTTACTATATGCTACATCAAGATGGTTCCAAAGAGAGTCTTCTACAATATAATGTTCCAACACATTAGGCAAATGATTCGTTAACCATTCCTGGTTAGCTGGTACAACTAAAAAGTCGTTCTTTCCACTTATCACAACCGTCGGAGTCGTAGTTGCGCTAAGGTTGAACGCAGGTGGTTTAAGAGAACCATAAAGTTCCATGTTTGCCCTGGTTCCGTAGTCAAAATGCTGGAAGTCATCCACGTTCAAAAACTGACTGTACCATACCAAATTCTTTACCGACGTACCTGCAGGAAAATGACCCACAAGGACGCGTATAGTTTGAGTTTCAATTGACCCGGGATGGGGCGAGTCGATGATACTCAATAAAGCCCTGCAAAATATGTCGGCGATAACAAACTCCCGGCAAAAGAAAGCAACGGTCTGCTGAACGATACCGCTCAAAGGTAATGCTTCGTAAAAACCAACTTCGGTCAGGGTAGGATATAAATCCTGATAAGCTTCAGCTCCTAATCTGCAAAATACAGATTTCAACTATGTGTTTCTCTTGAATCGGGCGCCAAGCCTATGAGTACTTGAACTTTATCGCAGTATCCCTTTCGCTCTGAACACATGATAAAGTAAGTGCTACCTCCTTGTGAATATCCAATATAATTAATATTTTCTGAAGATGTATGGCTTAAAATGTAGTCAATCACAGCCGGCATATCGAAACTACCAATTTCATTAACGGTAAATTGCCAGAAATCGATGTCATTTTCAGGATTAAGCGTCCGATATCTCTTCCCATAATAGTTACCTCTGGTGTTTCCTGCCCATAAGTCATAGCAGGCATCTGATAGTAGATACGCAAGACCAGACTCAGGGCCCGAATCCAGCCAAACATCAGAACTCATCAGGAAGCCATGCATTAGTAAAACTGGGGGTGATCTTATAGGCCCTTGACATTTCTTTCCTCTGATAATTCTAAAAATGGTTAGAATGTACCCATCCTCAGTTACAACGGTGTGCTCCTCAGATGGATATCCATATTCTGCGGTTAACTATGTAAAGTTAAGCAGTGAATCGAACGGGTAACCTTGGGATAATTTAAATTTTCTGTCTATGTACTTTTGACTTTCTTCAATTGCATTGTTTAACGTAATTTTGTTTAATATAAAGAGAGTAACAACGAATATACCTTTCGAAAACATTTTACTAAGTGATCAAATTTTATTGTTTCATATATTTAAAGGTTTTTATATCATTGAATTTAATGCACTTGCCTTAAATTAATTAATTAAGTTGAAAATTGTTACGATTAAGTCAAGTTATGTAAGTATTCTTTCAGTTTGCATTGCTGGTAGATAAAAATAATAAATCTTCGTCTGTTTTACAATAATCTAAACCTTTAATAAAATTCTTAGATTTTTTCACTCTTAAGGACTAAGTTGGAATACCTTGTTTCCAGTAAAAAGGATTTCCGGTTCTTTACACTTACCATACGGAACAAAACAGTATTAATCTGCTATTTCATGCTTTATTATATTGATTTTTGTTAAGCAAGTCAGAAGAAACAAAACTCCGGAACTTCTTTACCAGCTTGCTCTGGCGGTATGGTTTCTGATACGTGAATACAATGTTCTAAAAAAGTATAGACCTTTACTTCATCTATAAAAAAATCTGCAGCACGATATGCTATCTCTTATACTTGAGCCACAATAAGGTATTTTGGTACAAAAAAATTGTAAATTAAAAGGTGATTTATGGGCGTTATTATTATGCATGGTACATTAATTCTTATGAACACAAGTTACTACATCATCAAAAACATTTTATGAATATTAACTTTGCTCCTTACAGCATGTTATATGGCCGCGTATTTTAAGAGATAATGAATAATTAAAATAATTCCACATTCGGCTCGGCACGCGAACTGTGCATAAGCCTAGCCGACCGATGAGAACCAAGAGCAACCAGCAGTGAACGCCGGTGCGCGAGGTGTCATAACATATTGGCGTAAGCGAGGTGTCCACGTAATATTACATTTGCCACGTGCTTGGTGGTGAAGGAAAACATCGTGAGGAAATCTGCATATTTGAGAAATAAAAAAATATTTCGAAGATATGTGAAGTTTGCCAACACGTATCGAGGCAGCGCAGTAGACACATCCTTGCCCTAAGCCCCTCACAGAAAAGAGAGGATGCTTGTGCCTAGCAGTTTTATTTTTTTATATACTTAGTTTAGATAAGCTCCAAAAGTTACTGGCCTACCCAAAGTAGATTAATCAATGATACAAAACTTTAATGTCATTAGATTACTGGACTTTTCGTTATCTACCCACAAAAATATATATATGTTTTTAAATTTGTAACAGTGATATAGCCTAATAAAGTCAGCCTGTCGATTAATCATTTCGAAATGCATAAAATCGTGTATGTAGGCGTAATAAAATTTTTGACAAAAGAGGTTTTGACAGAAGACACTGGTGGAAATCAAACAACGTTTAGATGCTGTGTACGGGCTTTCTTCTCTTCGTACTCCACCGTAAAAGAATTAACAAAAAAGAATTTGTTTGGGAAGAGAATCAATTGATGATGAACCGCGTTTAGGACGATCATCCGAGGCCACTACGGATGAAAACGCTAAGTTTGTGGGGAAGACAATAAGGGTAGGCGGCTTGAGACTAAAGAATTAGCAGTTATAACAAAATTTCAAAAACAACACTGCTTAGAATCCTGCATGAACATTTGGGTATAAATAAGGTCAAGAAGTTTTGGATTTAATTGTTACGGGTGATAAATCCTTGGTCCTTTATCATGATCGTCTGTCAAAAAAGGAATCGATGAAGTGGCATCGTCCGAGCTTAACAAAAAAAAACATAACTGACTCAATGTCAGAAAAATATTATAGCTACAATCTTTTTCAATTCCGAAGTAATTTTACTTGCGGATTTTAAAGAACGTAACACACCAGCAACAGGCGATTACTATGCTTCCTTGCTACAATAACTGCAATATGCTTTTAAAGAAAAACATCGAGATAATTTTTCACCAGGAGGGTTCACAGTGGAAAATGCTGCGGTTCACACATCAGATGTTTTCAAGGCTCCCATTAAGTAATGCAGTTTGACCGGCTCGAACATCCACAATATAGCCTCGAATTGGCCCCTATTATATTATTTATTCTTAACATTGAAATTCGACTTGTGGAGACAAAAATTTAGCACTGATGATGAGGTGAAGTAAGCAGCTTTGTCACATTTTGAGGGCAAAAATTTAGACTTACATATATTTTTTATCGCTATAGAAAAGTTAGTAAAGCGCTGTGAAAAGTGTATTGAAATAAATCGAGGTTATATTTAAAAGTAATTAGAGTAGTTTGAGATTTATCCTTTATTTTATATTTCAGCCAGAAACTATTGTATCTATTATATGCAGCAACTTTAAGCGAGGTGTCGTGACGCGCGGCTCAGACGCGCGATATACGCGGGTGAAACCACGGGGCTCAGCTAGTAATTAATAATTATTTTAACGTGGTAGAGCCATGATGCCGCTTTATTACGATACGTTATCACCTCTCTCGGAACGCCTCATACACACAGCCTGTAACTATTGCTGGCTCTCTATGCCCTTTGACCCAGCTGTGCAAACACTATAATTTGGCGGTAGATATCGGTGAGAGAGTGGTACCTACTCAGACGGACTTCTAAGTAGGAGAGGAGTTCTACAACCTAGTACGATGAAAGGGAAGAAGAATATGGTGATTTTTTGATATTCGGTTATTAAACTTGTTTTTAATATGGCTTGAAGATTAAATATCTTTTTCAGTATATCTTTATATATAAAAATTACGTGTCATGTTGTTTGTTCGCGATGAACTCCTAAACTACTGAACTGATTTCAATGAAATTTTGCACACTGTGTGCAGTTTGGTCCAACTTGAGAGATACGATAGATTTTATTCCGATAAGTGAACCTCAATTTTTGTTTTGCTAATTTCAGGAGTTTTTTTGGAAAGCAAATGGTCGTCAGCATGCCTGGTCAGCAGGTATATATATGTATATATATATATATATATATATATATATATATATATATATATATATATATATATCCATACTACATATACTGACTCACTCACTCATCACGAGATCTCCAAATCTATACGTCGTTTGACTTGTTTCGCACATATACTCCTTTCCCAAGAAAGAATTTTGCGAAAATCTACCACTGAGGGTGTGAAATAGGGTGTTGCAGCTTGTAAAATATATAAACCAGGTATTGCTCAATATTACTTTATTTCAAATACTTTCTTACATAATAAAAAAACCCAAAATTGATTTTAAAATCCCACATCTGTTTCGTAGCTATATTTTGATAAATATTCAAGAATTTTCGGTAATATATCTTTACCTGTTAATTTACTATATGCTATATCAAGATGATTCCAAAGAGAGTCTTCTACAATATAATGTTCCAACACATTAGGCAAATGACTCGTTAACCATTCCTGGTCAGCTGGTACAACTAAAAAGTCGTTCTTTCCACTTATCACAACCGTCGGAGTCGTAGTTGCGCTAAGATTGAACGCAGGTGGTTTAAGAGAACCATAAAGTTCCATGTTTGCCCTGGTTCCGTAGTCAAAATGCTGGAAGTCGTCCACATTCAAAGACTGACTGTACCATACCATATTCTTTACCGACGTACCTGCAGGAAAATGACCCACAAGGACGCGTATAGTTTGAGTTTCAGCTGACCCGGGATGGGGCGAGTCGAACATACTCAATAGGGCTCTGCAAAACGTGTCGGCGATAACAAAGTCCCGGCAAAAGAAAGCAATAGTCTGCTGAACGATACCGCCCAAAGGTAATGCTTCGTAAAAACCAACTTCAGTCAGGGTAGGATATAAATCCTGATAAGCTTTTGCTACTAATCTGGAAAATATAGATTTCGTGTAAGTGTTCCTTGAATCGGGCCCCAAGCCAATGAGTACTTGGACTTTATCGCAGTATCCCTTTCGCTCTGAACACATGATAAAGTAAGTGCTAGCCCCTTGTGAGTATCCAATATAATTAATATTTTCTGAAGACGTATAGTTTAAAATGTAGTCAATCACAGCCGGCATATCAAAACTACCAATTTCATTGACGGTAAATTGCCAGAAATCGATGTCAGTTTCAGGATTAAGAGTCCGATGTCTCTTCCCATAATAGTTACCTCTGGTGTTTCCTGCCCATAAGTCATAGCAGGCATCTGATAGTAGATACGCAAGACCAGATTCAGGGCCCGAATCCAGCCAAGCATCAGAACTCATCAGCAAGCCATGCATTAGTAAAACTGGGGGCGATCTTATAGGCCCTTGACATTTCTTTCCTCTGATAATTCTAAAAATGGTTAGAATGTACCCATCCTCAGTTACAACGGTGTGCTCCTCAGATGGATATCCATATTTTGCGGTTAACTCTGTAAAGTTAAGCAGTGAATCTAACGGGTAACCTTGGTGTAATTTAAATTTTCTGTCTATGTACTTTTGAATTTCTTTATTTGCATTGTTTAACGTAATTTTGTATAATATAAAGAGAGTAACAACGAATATACCTTTCGAAAACATTTTACTAAGTGATCAAATTTTATTGTTTCATATATTTAAAGGTGTCTATATCATTGACTTTAATTCACTTGCCTCAAACTAATTAATTAAGTTGATAATTGTTACGATTAAGTCAAGTTATGTGATTATTCTTTCGGTTTGCATTGCTGTTAGATAAAAATAATAAATCTTAGTCTGTTTTGATCTAAAACTTTAATTAAATTCTTAGATTACGCTATCAATACTCGGGTAGATAAAAATTATAGATGTTTGTTGAAAACTTTGTAGTCTATGTTGGGGCTTTTATTAGTATAAATAGTAAACTCAAGATTAGCCGTCTAAACCCATGTATAGTTGTTAGACTTCTATTAGAATGTCCATTTCCAATAAATAAACTTTTGCATATTTATATGAGTAATCATATAAATATTGGCGGCACCAACCATTCCTTAATCTACTTTCAACCGCCTACACCTAGTTTATTTTTTATAACTATAAAAATGTGGTGAGTACAACCCATAGACGCCTGCAGCCTACTTCATACAAAAAGGTCACTTATGCGTTGTCACCTCTGAGGACTAAAATTGAATGGCTTACAGCCTCTAATTATACTGGTTCTCTGTACGCCTCTATACGCTCTATAGATAGGAAACCTGCTTTAATGTATGGTAGTGAAAGTTGAGTATGGCAGAAGAAGCATGAGAGTAGAATAAATGCTGTAGAAATGCGGTCATTAAGGAGTATGCTAGGGCTGAATCTGAATGACAGGGTGAGAAATAGTGTGATAAGAGAAAAGTCTACTTTGCAAGATGACGTTTTGACAAGGATTAAAAAAGAAATGCTTCGGTGGTTTGGTCACGTAGAAAGAATGAACGAGGAAAGAGTGACAAAGCAAATTTATGTTTCAGAAGTGAACTGCAAAGTCGAGAAGGGACGCCCTAGACTAAGATTTATCGACCAAATCGGCGATACATTGAAAATGGGCCAGATTAGGAGTACCCTTAACCGACGAGCGTGTATGCGTAAATATATGGATGTAAAGGAGGCGAGAGAGGTGTGTCAGGATCGCGCCAAATGGAATTCCGTAGTTTCTGCCTACCCCTCTGGGTGACAGGCTTGAGTGTTTGTATTGTATTGTATAGATAGGAAACCAGTAGTGCAAGCAATGTTGAGTGACAGAATTAGGTAGAAAGGAGATACCTACCCAACGGGCTCCTTGGTAAAAACGAAGTCCCACCACCCATGTATTAAGAATTAGATGCAAAGGCTGCCACACGAGAAAATTTCTTCCTCATGCATAAATTATGAAACAAATTTATTCTCAAATACACATTTGGCGGAGAGGTCAATTGTATGTCATTTTTTTTATAGAATACGCTTAACAAACGAGTACACATTCCACCTGATGGAAGGTGGATGCTGTGTCCCATAGACATCTACACTTATCCTCGATTAAGAATCTAAATACAGATGCGTTGACAACCCCGAGGACTAAGATGGAATGCCTCGTATTCAGTAAAAAGGTTCTCCGTTTCCCTACACTCACCATAGGAAACACAACAGCATTAAGCTGCCATTTCACGCTGGTACTATGTGAGACCCGATCCTACCCTCGTCGAGCCGACCCATTCGTGCTACAATTATAACATAGCTCTGTACTATTAATCTAAACTAACTTGTGCTATTAAGCTGAACAAACTGTTATCAGTAAACCTGTGAATAAATAATGTGATAATATGATTATGATGCTCCAAAATTAGTGCATTGGTTTAACGTTAATTATCTACATTTAAACGGAAATAAAACTAAATGTATTAAATTTACAACAACGAATGTTAAAAATCTGAGTACCAATGTATTTTTAAATGGGGAAGAACTGAGCCCTGTTGAATCCACTGTTTTTGTTGGCATCACTCTCGACGCAAAGCTTCAGTGGAGCCTCCATATATCCAAACTAGCAAGCAGACTAAGTTCTGCAGCTTATGCTGTAAAAAAGATTGGAGGGCTCACTAGTGTCGAGACAGCTAGATTAGTTTATATCAGTTATTTCCATAGCATAATGTCTTATGGGATTTTGCTATGGGGAAATGCGGCTGATTCGGAAACTATTTTTGTTTTACAGAAGAGGGTCATTAGAGCTATTTACAACCTAAAACCGAGAGAGTCTCTCAGAGATAAATTTAAAGAAATAAATAAATTAACTTTGGCCTCTCAGTATATTTACGAAAATTTAATGTATGTTCACAAAAACAAAGGTAGTTTTAGTAAAAAAAGTGATATAAATTCTGTAAACACTAGGAACAAACACAAGCTAGTGATACCAGTTTCTCGACTCCACAGAGACAGTAATTCATTCTTGGGGCAATGTATACGCTATTACAACAAGGTCCCGGAAAGTGTACAGGCTTTTTCTATTAGCAAGTTTAAATGTTTTGTTAAGTTGAAACTGTATAAAAAGGGTTATTATAGTATAAATGGATACATGGTTGATAATAACCCCTGGGAATGAGGTGATCGCTTCCAAGCTGTTTCTAAAATAAATGTTGTACTTAAATAGTTTGTACAACCATTAATGTAAAATTTGCTTTAAAAAAAAGTCCCGCTGGGTTTCTTGCTGGTTCTTCCCAGGACAGAGGTTTTTTTTTCGAACCAGTGGTAAAGTAAAAAATGACTTTCAATATGAATTACACATGTGATCTATATTGAATAAAAAAATATTCTATTCTTTTCTATTCTATTCTATTCTATTCTATTCTATTCTATTCTATTCTGTTCTATTCTGTTCTATTCTGTTCTATTCTTTCTATTCTGTTCTATTCTGTTCCATTCTGTTCCTTTCTGTTCCATTCTGTTCCATTCTGTTCCATTCTGTTCCATTCTGTTCCATTCTGTCCCATTCTATTCCATTATGTCCATTCTGTTCCATTCTGTTCCATTCTATTCCATTATGTTCCATTCTGTTCCATTCTGTTCCATTCAGTTCCATTATGTTCCATTCTGTTCCATTCTGCTCCATTCTGTTCCATTCTGTTCCATTCTGTTCCATTATGTTCCATTCTGTTCCATTCTGTTCCATTCTGTTCCATTCTATTCCATTCTATTCTATTCTATTCTATTCCATTTTATTCTATTCCATTCTATTCTATTCTCTTCTATTCTATTCTCTTCTATTCTATTCTATTCCTGGCGAGAGTATGCGTTCCTGATATTTTCCCGCCATTGGATATGATTAGTGATGGACAGTAAACAGTATGGCAATAAGTACTTACCGTTAGGTATTATTTTTTAGAACTTTCCCAAGAACTTTCTTATAACCTGTACTGACTGCAAGAGTGATTAATTAAATTGAACTTGATATTCAATGAAATTATAAACAATATTAAAAACTATAATAATAATAAAAAAAATAAAACTAGAAACTTAATTATCATATAGTCCTACTCCCCGCAGTATCGTGCCAAGAACGCTGGCTGCGTTTCCCCGCTGAATGGCTATACTTAGACTTTGAGCGAGAAAAAAACCAGCCCTCTTATCACCAGCAGCAACGACTAGCCGCGGATGGAGTTCTTTTAGGAACTTCACCGCACGTGGACCCCACGGACCGATGGTCTCTACAGCAAATGGCACAAATATGTAGTCATCTCTCAGAGACTCATATTTGCGCCACTTACTCAGTTCAGCTGCCTCTGATGCCGCCCCGGCTCTAAACGAGGTACCCCTGAGATGAGAGGCCGCCAGAATGTCTACGTAAGTAGCATCCCACACTAGGGCTTTACCTCTCTCCCAAGGGACCAATGTCATACCGTCGGGTCTCCTGCCATCGTCTCTAAATATACCACAAGGCTTTAAAAGCGAGGGAACATTTATAGAGAAAAGAGCCCTTCGGATGACATTGTTCAAAGATCTGTGTCGTGAAAACCTACCAGCGCTTTTCTTACATGAAAGTCTGTGAAGCCCAAACTTGTCGACGCTGCTACCATAGGGGCATTCATGGGGTTGACAAAGCGCCGATCCTAGTCGGATCCCCACGGTGATGCGCAAGCTTTCCCCATCAAGTAATGTACCGAAATTACTTGATGGTAAAGCGTGTAACCAGTGACTAGATTCCTTAGTCGAAACAGCTTGAAGGCGTGCCTTATCTTGATCACTATGGAAATTATGAAACAAATCTTTCTGCACACCCCGTACCAACGGAATATCCCACTGCTTTTGTTGGTTAACTTCTAGTGAAACATTTTCACCGGGACAGAGCGTTTGCCATGTCTGTCCTGCCTCCGTAGCAAAGCATCGGTCTACTTTATTATTTAAAATTATGTTACATAAGTCACTGACACTATGCACGGAAGCAAGGAAAGCAGGCAATGCAACGCTAGAAAGATTTCTCACACCAATGCCACCAAATTTTATAGGTAAAGTAGCTTGAGTCCAGGCTGTTGTTCAATACATTTATTTACATAAAATTGAAATATATAAACTACTGAAAACTATAATTAAAAAACAAAATAAAACTAAAAACTTAAATTATCATATGTACAGTTCTACTCCACGTGGAACGAGGCAAGAACTCAGGCTGCATTTCCTCGCTGATTGGCTATACTTGGCCTTTGAGTGAGAAAATAACCAGCCCTCTTATCATCAGCAACGATTCATTTCCTTTATGAACTTCACCAGACGTGAACCCCGATAGTCTCCACTATATTCAATTATTGATACATTACTATCAACTTTTGAACTAAGGTCTCTTCCGTATAATGTAAGATTACCTACATAAGTGATCCACGTTTAGCGTGTACGTAGACTATTTATATTATACACAGATAATAATAATAATAATAATCTTTATTTTCCATATATATATATATATGACATATTGTTAACTGATATATATATATATATCAGTTAACAATATGTCTTTTTATAAACTACGAAGGAATATTTAATCTTATAACATGAGAAATAGCATCCATTGCCGAAGTAGGCCAGAACCAGTATTTCAGCATATGGCGCCACTCCCCAGACAT